GTAGCTCAACAGCCCGAGTCCTAACCAAGGACCTAGGAACTGTTGAGGTAACGTCGGAGGGAATAAGCTGTTCCAAGTAGGGTAATTTTTGTTATTTTGAATGTTCAAGTCCGATAAATTTAGAATTTCCAAATAGCGAGGTAGCCCTCATTATTATTATTTACTTTATTCATTAAACATGCAACTCGGTCAACTGAACATTCAAAAGCGTATCACAAATCATTGACTGGTTGATACGGGTTGCTGCCAGCGTCCTAGGTATCAACCAAGTACCTTCTTAAGATGTACAATGTTCCGAGTAGCAGGTTTTTTTGCAGTTCCGCTGGTGTTATTGCAGGAAGTTGCAATTTGTTGATGTATCTTATAAAATTCTTGGACATGGTACCAAATGCCCAGATGACAATGGGTATCGCTGTTACATGTTTCATCCACAGCTGTGTAGTTTAGATGGCCAGGTCGCGATATTTTGTAATTTTTCCCAGTTCTTTTTCTTCAACTCTGGTGTCTCCTGGTACAGCAATATCAATAAACTGTACGCTTCGGCCCTCGACAACCGTGATATCTGGCGTGTTGTGTTTGTTTAATGAATAAAAGAGATAATAATAAATCTCAGTCATGTAAGCGCAGGATAATGCAAACAGCCGTAAATGTGGACCAGAACAGTAAGAGTAAGGAAATGAGATGTGATATGAAACAGATGCCTTATGTGGGTATTTTGTGCAAACTAGTAAGGAAACATAGCGGTGATCCTTGAACTGTTACTACACTGTCCATTCCCAGAAAATTGCAACTTTTAAAATGCAAGCAGTATCTAAAATACCCAGAGTTCCAATGCTAGGTGGTTCGGTTAATTCTGCTGTAACTTTACAGTTAGGGAATTAAAAGACTTTGGTTTGCTACTTACGGCTTCAGAATTATCAATGAAAGAATCTGATTCATCATATCCTTGTCCCATGTCAATCAAATCCTGAAAACGGTCTTTCCTGCGCTTCTTTCCACCCTGGAAAGAGAAAAGATTTGATCCAGAATTATTTGCAAGAAAGGCTATGATTCCTGCCCAGATACACAACCTCAAGAGTCTCCTGCTAATGCTTAGAACTGGTGTGTGCAAGTGGACTCCACTCCACAACCACATAATCATTACAACTAGTGAATGCTAACAAAAATAAAACATCAGCTGGCAATAGCCCACCACAGAAAAATCCACAGAGGTGGAATATGGGAGTTGTGCTCATTCTCTAAAATATGAGGTGGCTAAAGGATAGGTTTTACAGATAGCCCTTGAGTTATGATCACAATTGAGCCCAAAATTTATGTTGCTAAGTGAAACATTTGTTAAGTGAGTTTGGCCCATTTTACAACTTTTTTCGCCACAGCTGTTAAGCGAACCATTGCATTTGCTAAGTTTGCAACATGGTTGTTAAATGAATCTGGATTCCGCATTGTCTTTGCTTGTCAAAAGGTCGCAAAAGGGGATCAATCCTGGGACACTGCAACCATCATAAATCTGAGTCAGTTGCCAAGTGTCTGAATTTTGATCATATGACCATGGGGATGATGCAACGATCCCCAAGTGTGAAAAACAGTCGTATGTCGCTTTTTTCAGTGCCATTCTAACTTTGAATGGTCACTAAATGAACTGTTGTAAGTTGAGGACTACCTGTACATCTCTTTAACTTCTGAGGGGAAAAAAACCAAGCCCATTTACAGGGCTCCTTAAATAGAAACATCATCTTTCATGACATGTTCTGGAATTACCACATAACACACCAAGGGCAAAAGTCAGTAAATTTGAAAGAGAATTTTTTAAAAAAATCTGGATTTAACCCAAAGGACTAGCATCTTGACTCTCTGTTCTACAGTAATCCTCTTCATCTGGGTGTGTATGAGACAGCAAGAGAAACATATTTCTCATTTATTTAAAAAAAAGCATGGTGATTCTCTAAGCTTCAGCTAGTTGCTGAATGTGAGTGTTGAGATGGACCTGGATGGGAAGCCTAACAATCACAACCAAGTTTTAGCAAAATGAAAGGAAGCTTGCAAAGGTGTCTCTAATATTTTAGAAAATGAAACTTCAGATACACCACTGATGCAAGCTGGCAATTTTCTATATGGATTTTTAAATAAACATGGATAGGGAAATATTCCAGACAGGAAATCTGTCCCCCAAAACAAATTGTTAAACAGAGTGGACCTACCATGGTCCACTCAGTTTACACTCCCAATACAGGAAGCCTGGAATGAAACGTGGCTGTATGTTTTTGACAGAACTTTTTATGGAGAATACTAGAATCAAGATTTAACTGGAACGTAGATGGGACAGAGGAGCGTACATATTTCTCTTCAAACTTCCTGGTAAGGGCTTCTGCTTTGTGCTTCTCCTTCTCTTCGTCGTTGAAGGGATCAGCAAAGTCTTTTTTCTGCAGGAAAAGGGGAATGCAAAAAAGGAGGAAAGAGAGGATGTCATACGGTTTCATAGCGAGGTCTCAAGGCAACCGTTATAAATAGGGACCAGTTGACAAGTGTCTGAATTTTGACCACATGACCTTGGGGATGCTGCAACAGTCACAACTGTGAAAAATGGTTATTTTTTTCCCCCAGTGCCGTTGCAACTTTGGTCACTAAATGAAAAGTTACAAGACGAGAACTGCCTGTAAATGATACACTATGATTGTACTTTTCAATACTGTAAAGATTGGCAGCAACTTCTTTTTTTTTTTAAACTTTCCCCCTTTTAGCTTTCTCTCTGATGCCTTTTGCTTACTTCATAGTAGTTTATCTTAGTTTTTAATCTTTCTTTTTTTTAAAAAAAAAACCCCAACGTTATGTCCTTGCAACAAATCTATTCTTCCCCTACCACTCTTAGGTAAAGGTCAAGGTTCCCCTTGTCCATATGTGCTAGTCGTTCCTGACTCTAGGGGGCGGTGCTAATCTCCGTTTCAAAGCCGAAGAGCCAGGGCTGTCCGAAGACGTCTCTGTGGTCATGTGGCTGGCAAGACTAAACATCGAAGGCACACAGAACACTGTTTCCTTCCCACC